ATTTTAAATTTATTTTAAAGTACAAGACCTAAGAATTAGAGCTCCAGCCCACAAAACGTCGCCGTTTTTCTAGTATAAAAATCGAAGATTTTGTAGATTTTAAAAACCTTACTAATTTCAAATAAATATAAATTAGTGAATTGGCCTGTCTAAAAAATCCTCACCCGGGTCACCCATGGGGTGAACAGTATGCCACCCGATGGGTTACCCAGGTTAATTAAAAAAACAAGCCCAGGTGATTAATGTCCCGAAAATAATACGTCATTCTAAAGTGATAAAAGTTTTTCAACCCAGCAGATGTTTTGAAAGACCATATTTCTGCATTTACATCGATATGGGGGTGAGTCAATAGAAACGCACCAAATTTTTTCTAAGTAAATTTTTTTAAAACTTTGAACAAAAATTTACTAGATTTGATCAAGTTTTTGTTGAGTTATATTTGTTTAAAATTTAAAAAAAATTCATTAAAAAGATTTGGTGCGTTACTCACCCCATATATTAATTTATTGAATCTATTATGCCGAAATCACAAACTTAATTGAATCAGCAAAAAATCATCCGGCAATTTTTGTAGATGTCTCAGAAATTATGATAATGGCTTCAAGCAAAGTATGGCTGATTTATAATATACTGCAAAGCTATAAGCCAACTCACAGGTCTCCCACGGCTCATATCCACTCGGGTCAAATCACTAATATAAATATAACTGATCGAAAATATCATCACAAAAAATCATGGAATTAAAGAAGTATGGTACGAGTGACCGAATCAGTATACTGATTAACTATAATTAGAGTTGGGTAATTTACGTAAGTTATTTTAATTAATGTACGTAAGTTTAACGTAACTTACATGTAACTTACGTAAGTTAAAAATTTTTATTTATTATTTTATCCTGGAATAATTCAGATGTTACTCGAAAAAAATAGCTCGTAATTTTGTGTCCATTGATTGTCTATCTCGGAAAATGCTAACCAAGTTTATCATAATTCTACAGTATTAAATTTATATATTTGTAACTTACATAAGAGTCATGTAACTTACAATGTCGGACCTTCAATTATATTTTGTGTATACAGTTAGCCGTCTATGGAAATCTATCATAATGATAGATTTCCATAGCAGGCCAAATTTTAAAATCGTACTGGTGTTATATATATAACGTTAGGGCCCCTAACGCTATAATTGCTAACGGTTAGCTGATCAGTATTTATAATTTCGGCCTGTACCATACATGATATCTCATTGCCTGATGATCATTCGGCCGAGTTCGATAAGTTTTTGAATTCGGTGTTATCGACATTGTTGTAATGCCGAAATCCAATGCCGATAACACCGAAATCAAAAACTTATCGAATTCGGCCGAAATAATTTTTATCAGTTGTCCCAGAATTTGAGAACAGCTGTAAGATAAAAAAAAATATTTTATCGATTTTAATTAGGTAGTTGAGATATCCTCATTCAAAGTTTGAAAAAAATTATATTGTCGTTATTATCTTCGATTTTGTCCAATCAGAATGTGATTGTTCGACAAATTTTTCGTCATGGCTAAGATACTATGGTTTTTTAGACCCGTAGACGGGTTGAAAACTATTTGGGGCGTAGAGTATTTTTACTTAGAGCACCACACACTACAATTAGCCAGCTTTAAGATAATGCAACATAGGTGGTAAAGCACCATAGGTGCGTTTTAGTAATTCTTTGATTTAGAAAAAAAACCACCCAGATAATAGCAAAATTTGACCCGGCCGGGTTATGAGAACCAAAAAATTACCTTTGCTTAGCCTTATATTGATTTAATTATCTTTTTGATTGTGCGTTCGCAAAACATATAAATATGTAGTATACGCATAGAATTTGCGTTTTGTGCACTAAATTTCAAGTCTGAATATTTTTTACATTGGCTTTATCGTATACTGTATTGGTGGTTCTCACAACTCGGATCCCTTTTTTTCGAACCAATTTATAAATTTTATATGGCTTTACAAAAACCAATTCTTTCAAAAAATCTGCCCCTTAACTGTTAATATAATACGTACCGTACAGCATGGATTAAAATACCCATGGTACTTCTGTACTTGAGAAATACTATAGTTAGCGCAGGAGATATAGGTTGCACTATATAAGTGTCGCCGAGGGAAAACCTGTCATTGGATTTTCAATTATAACTATCGATTTAATCTATGTTTTAGGCCTCTAAAAGTTTGGAGGGGTATTATAAAAAGGGGGGTCTTTTAGTCCACGCTGTACGGTACGTACGTACAGGACTTTAAACGTTTCCTAATTTAGAATTAAGCCAATTATACGTATACGTAACAATAAAAATGATTCACGACAACAGCAACTTTATTATATTGTTCTAATTCTACAATAAAATATAACTACAATATCTGATATAAATTTTAACCTCCGAATTCTTTTAACGATACAGATCGAAAACATGGGAATTATTGACGGACCTTGTCCGTTAGAACAACTTTTCAGTAAAAATGACGAATATTCCACAGAGTCTTCGACACAACAGGTGCTTACATTACAAAATTTCAGAATTTTAAGAAAAAAGTAGATATAGTATTGATAATTTTCTTTTTTTGTTCATAGTCCAAAACAGAGAAATTAGTATATGATTTGTTTAAAACCGTAAAAGAGAAAAACTCACTAAAAACGTAAGTTGTAAAGTTAAAAAAGTCACATGTTTAATATAAGTACTCACAAGCTTACGGCAAGTTTATCTTTTTTATTAAAGGATAAGGCTTAACAGAAATTCTCACATTAAATACGTTACGGATGGTCTCAAAGGCTTACATAGACATTGGGTAGTATTAGATGCTAACAAACCTTGGTTATGCTATTGGATGCTTCATGTTCTCGATTTGCTTGGCCATGATATTACTCAAGAACTTATAAGCAGGTTTGTCGGATTAATATATATATATATATAGTTTGAATTTATTTGTATTTGATCTAATATGTCGTAAATTTTAGAGGTGTAACAACCATCTCTAAATTACAGAATGTTACTGGAGGATTTGGTGGTGGTCCAGGCCAGATATCTCATGCTGCTGTAACTTATGCTGCGGTAAATACTATAGCAATTTTAGGAACTAAAGAGGCATACGATTTAATTGATAGGTATTATTATTATTACACGTTGCTAATGTCAACAAACGCTTATTTATTTCTTATATATAAACCTTCTAGAGAAAATCTTTATAAATGGTTTATGAAATTAAAACAACCTGATGGTTCATTTATTATGCATGAAGGTGGTGAAGTTGATATCCGGTAATGTACTAACAAAAGCACTCTTTATAAGTATAATTACTGATTCAAATTTTTTTTTTATACAACAGTGGTGCATATTGTGTTCTTGCTTCGGCTACCTTAACTAATTTGATTACACCAGAATTAATTGCTGGGACTGCTGATTGGATAAGGAGGCACATATTTGATATAGATTAAACTCAAAATTATTTATTTTATCAAATGTTAACATAATTATTTAATTCAGATGCCAGGCTTTTGATGGGGGAATTGGTGGCGAACCAGGCCTTGAAGCGCATGGCGGATACGCGTTTTGTGGTCTTGCTGCGATGGAAATACTTGGTAAAACTGATTTGTTAGACATTCCATCGCTTTTTGTAGGTGGCTCACAGTATTCGTATGTTATATTTTATAATAATTCTTGAATTTACTAACTTTGGTTCATTATTTAGCGTTGGGCTTCTTCTCTTCAAATGAAGCTTGAAGGTGGTTTCCAAGGTCGACCAAATAAATTAGTAGATGGTTGTTATTCGTTTTGGGTTGGTGCTTTATTTCCTGTTTTGGAAGCTATCATGACACGGCAACAGCTAAAAAAAAATGATGCAAATTGTAAAGAGCTTGATGAATATATTGGTATGTATATTAAATCGATTATTGGGATATATAAAATAATTATACTGTACTTTGTAAATAGTGTTTTAACGTATCTTTATTTTACATTGGTCAGCTCAACCTTTATTCGATAGAGGTATTTATCTTATTTTTTACAATTAAAACGCTTATGTACTAAAACATTTAAAATTTTCTAGAAGCACTTCAAGAATATCTTTTGATAGCTTGTCAAAATCACAAGGGTGGGCTAATTGATAAGCCAAAACGGAGTCCGGATTATTATCATACTTGTTATTGTTTAAGTGGTCTATCGACCTCACAACATCATGTAATTTATGATTTTGAAAAAGCTACATCTTTAAATATAGAACATGGTGAACTTAATGCCGGAGATAGATCTTTGCTGTGGTTCGAAGATGAAACAAAAATTTTAGTTTTGGGTGACCCTAGTAACATTGTGGTACGTTGACAATACACATTTTCTTCAATTTTATAATCGTTGATTTTATGTTCATTGAAGTAATAATTTTTAATCATATTTCCTAGAATGCTACGCATCCTATCCATAATGTAGCTATGCCAAAAGTTAAAAAAATGGTTGAATATTTTCGCGAAAAGCCTTTTAGTTCTTAAACGATCTAAGCGACTATCTTTCTGTTAAGGAATTTAATTTATATCGTTAAAAGCTTGTACCTAGTTATTCTGATAAATTTTAAACATTTTAATCATCCAGTAATTAACTTTTTTAATTAATTTGCTTTTTTATGTCATGTAAGCCATATGCTCGGTAAATGAATTTTATTAATGTCCGATACATTTTAATTTGTAAGATAAAAGAAAAAAATATTTACATTTTTTTTTTTTTGTATACAGTATACTATATAAATGCATTTTTATCCGGAGGACCTCGCATTCATGTAATTTGATCACGCCGCGTGTCGTAGCTTTTAGTTTGACAAAAACATGCACACTCACGCGTTTGTGTAATATATGATGATCATTCGTTCAGTCATACCAATAGAATTAGAAACTCGATCTATACGTAGGACAGAAAGTTTGTCGAACTACTTTAAAAAAATTCCTAAATGTAAAAGATAATTTACGAAAGAGATTTAAATGCAGAGCAAGAGCATGAATTAAATGAATTAAAAAACTGTGCAGATGTTTTTTATACATACAGTACAGTATACAGTAGTTATACAAACTTTTCATAATTATTTTGAATATTTTTTATATTGGGATTAGTAGAAATGTATTGAATCTTTTTTAAATAAATTTTTTAAAAATTTTAAACAAAGATAACAGTAATTTAATCAAATTTAATATAAAATTTTTATTAATTTATAAAATTTATTAATTAAATTTTTTTGATGCTATATATTGTATATACAGTATAAGTTAAAATTTAAATTTTTTTTTAGTAAGAATTGAAATTAGTTAAAAATTTAACTAACTAAAAATTAACTACAGTATATAGTTAATTAGTTATTATAACTAGTTAACTAATTAACTAATTAATTAACTAGTTAATTATACTGTAGTTAACTTTATCTATTTTATTTTTTAAAATTTTTATTAATAAAATAAAAAAATATCTACAGTAGCTTATAGAATGTATTTAAAGTTTAATTTAAACTTTATTACAGAATTTTCATAATATAATTTAGCAAAAATAATTTTGTAAAAAATTTTTTAATTGCCTGCCTGCCGAAAATTTAGAAGTTTTTTTTATAATTATATATTATTGGGTTACAAATAAATTTTTTTTAATTTTTTACAAGACAAATTTGCAGTTAAAAGATTGAAATTTAAATACTATCTAAGAGTATATGTCTTTAAGAGTATTTAATATAGTCTTTTCAACGAAAGAAAGCATCATTTGATCAGTTAAGTTAATGCTAACAAAAAATTGTTTACCGAACTTTGATGCTAAAACGTTTAAAAACATAATTGAAGAGCTATTATTAATATACTATCACATTAATCACGCAAAACTTTTTAAACCAATATTTTTCAAAAATAGAAAGTATAAAAAAAGTAGTTACCGAGTTTTTGTCCTAGTTGTTTAGAAGTTTCCTCTATCTCTTTTGTTAATATAGTAGTGGACGGCGTTGATAAGGTATTACCATTTAAAGTTGGTGGCGGCATAGCAACTGCTAAATTCCCTAATACCTCATTTCCGTCAACTCCAACCCATATAAACGCCGACTCTTCAAGAGTCGTAACCTGCAAATGTAAAAGCTGGGATTGGAATAGATGTGATGAACTATAAACTTTGAATCGCGGTGTACTAGGTTCTGACGACATTGAATTGTTCGTGAGTTACTTTAGAGGTCTGTCTTTCATAGGAAGACATTCATATGATTAGTTAATTTTCGTCGATCTACTCGTGATTGCAAGTTTTCATGGTTATATTACTACTTAGGTCGCCCGTGATAATTAACCAATCAAATTACATAATTTTTAAAAATGGTTACTGTAGCTTTATTAATTTTTGGATATTTGGCTTCAACAAACTAATTATTGTCTACTAGTCCCAACCGCCACATAGAGGCATATCCAATGGTTAGGTAAAGGAGAAGAACGTTCACAAAGGCTGTTTACTGTATATTAGGTCTGGATACCCAACTAGTAACTATCGCAATTGCGGCCACGAAGAGCTTTCAATTCCCCTGAACTACTAATTTGTTTGTTTACTAACTTCAGGGCCTACTCTTACTCTTCGGTCAATGACTACTAAAAAAATTCGTCGAATCCGGTGAGTGTGCTAGGATAAAGTATTTTTAATTAGGTAGAATTCTTGTTAAGAAAGAAACGTAACTGATTCTTCTTCTAAAATCAGTAGACCTTAACAAAGAATCCACTTTCACATCTATCAAATAGAAGATGATGAGAAGTTA